TATTTACAAAAAAAAAAGAAAAAAAATTATATATATATATATATATCAAATCAAATCACAATTTTTACGTAAAAAGTCTTTTTTGAAAAAAATATAAATTTTTGTTTAGCATATCAATACCAATAATTATTTAGAAAATTAAGCTATGAATATTTTGCTTTCTTTTGTTTCCGACTATCACCATTATCATCATCGCTTAAATGATGCGTGTTTGGAACAGAAATTGATGATCTACCACGAATATAAATTCGATTTGCTGGTGAAGTAGTGGCGGTCTGAGAAGGACCTGGAAGGAATTGACGCAATTGTAATTGACTCATATCGTATGATGATTGACTAACATTTGGAGTATTTATATGTGATGTGTCAAACGCTCCTATTGAAGAAGAAAACTGTTGAGAAAATGGAGATTGTGTATCCAGACTAATTGGAGAAGTAGTTATTGTCCCAGGTTGAATATTATAATTAACAGGAATATTTGCAGTATTTACTTGGCTCATATCAATCGGGATTGAAGATTTAAAATTTACAGGGTTATTTAAAGATAAAATTGTTTGATCATTGCTTATATCATCAGATAAATTTATAGAAGAATAAATTGTTGAGGATTGTAATGTAGGCAATAATGGCCTTGTTGATGATGGTGAAGTTGGAGAAACAGGTAATTGTTGAGCATGAGATTGCATTCTGTCAGGTGTACCCATTAGTTGATTAAAGTTGGGGTGAACGTCTTCAATATTGCGAGAGACTAAATTTCTCGAGAGCTGTAAAATTGAAGGCGTCATATCAGTTGTAGAACTTGATCTGCTGTTATTGAATTGTTCATTAGGAGAAGAAGAGGATTGTACATTTAAGGACATTGAAGAGTTACGCGAAGGCGAATCGGTTTGAAATAAACGATCTTGAGGAGATCGTTCTGAAAATTAGATATATAAGTTTAGAGTCAAAGAAATGACATGTGATATAAAGGTTGAAAATTGGCAATACCTTGACTTAATTGTTGAGTCAGAATTTGATACAAATTACTAAGTAAAGCATCTTGCGCAGCAAGATTACGTCTAAAAGTAATTATTTCCTCTAAAATGGAACCACAATTTCTTGATAGAGTACTGACTTGTCCAGTCAAATCGGCATGTAATTCTGTAAGATTTTCCACTTGAGAATGTAGATCTTGATGGATGCTTGGAGGCGCGGGTGCTACCGAGTTTCCAGCAGTACTGCAACCGCTTGTTCCATCGTCCGGTGACGATTCATCTGTTATTTGTTGTTCATCAGTTTTAGTTCTGTCTGCTTGTGTTGGTCTATTTCGTGGTGTTGGAACTTTACGCTATTTAATTTATTTTTTAATTAAATATAACAATAATTATATATAATATAATAATTGAATATTTTAAATTAATGAATTAATAATGAATTTTTTTTTTTTTTTTTTTTATTTATTGAAATAATTACTTTTATATCTTCTAATAAATCTCTACGGTTAAGCTGAAATTTTGGATGTTGAAACTCCCATGCCTGTTAGAAAAAATCATGTCAGTTTGTAAAGATTTTTACGTGATGAGCCGAAAATTCATTAAAAACCTGTTCGCCGTAAGGCCTTGCTTCGTCATCGTTACTTTTTATCTTGTGAAAGTCATATTTATTTAGTTGTCTAACAAAACTTGCCATATTATTATGTTTAAAATGTTGTGGCAATATTGTTTTGGCAAATTCTGTAGGATCGTGAACGACAAATGTATCACCGGTCACTCCCCAAGAAACAATATGTGCGTATGATTTATCCTCGAGCATCCTTTAAAAGAAGAAAAAAGATGGTAAATGTAATGAATCGTTAAAGAATCAAATTTATGAATTGCATGCCCGAGCATAATTATAAGTTAAATTCAACAAAATTTTTTTAACTTTTCTTAATGTAGTGAATTACGCGCAGCTCGGAGGGCATACATGTATTTTTTTTAGCAGGTATATATTTCTTTCAGTTCCTCAACACATTGCCATTGTAGCTTTATGGATAACTTCTTGTTTGACCCAAGGTAAAAAGAACATAAGAGTCAAAGATATTGTTACCAGAACAGAGGCAATAAAAAATTACATCAAGAATAAAAATAATAAAAATATACAAAATATACAAAATATAGAAAATATCGAAAATAAAGATGAAAAAAAGGTCACAGATAAAGACGCGTCAAGGAGAAAAGAGGACAAACCTATAAAGCCTCTTTATAAAATCCGCGATATTTGCCGCGGCGCAAGTCATTTTGTTGTGAGGTCTTCGATATTCAGAGCGTTAAAATATTGAGGAGTGTCGGATAGCTTAAAGGAAGACCTCACAGACGGTCATTGCAAGAAAATGTTCAGGAGTGGACGTCGATAAAAACTTGTATCGATTATTTTCTGATTGATTCGACCTTTTGTTTTATATTTATATATTTTGATCTTTATAAAATTGAGAAGGATGCCTGACCACTCAACAAGCAGATCTACTATTAAATAAGGTACAGTATTAAAATAAAAGATTTCCGAATGAATGAAAACCTTGTTGATAGTTGTCGACACCTGATTGAATTAAAGCCATGCAATATAAACACTTTTATTAAATAAAAAACATAAAAATTCGTTGTGATTTATGCGCAACCTAGTTAGTGGATGCGTACATTGATTGCTCAAAGATATGCCAGGATTTTCGGACTAGCAATGCAGATCTCGAAGAAAATGTCGGTTGTTTAAAATCCTTTCATATGCATTTTGTAGGACATTCTTAAGAAAATGTTAACCGTATCATATTTTATAATATATAGACAGGATTACTCGTCGTTCAGGAAAATCCTTTGCACAAACTTGGTTAGTCAAGTTTATGCCAATGCATACTAAGCAAAAATCATGCACCACATTAAAGTTGTATGAATTAACTTATCATATGCGGGTAATAACTAATAAAACTAATGATAAACTGTTGATTATTTTATTTTTCGCGTGCTTCTGAAGTATATTATTAACTTATTAGTGTTTATGTGACGAATTTCGCAGATTATATTTGAAACTGTTTGGAGTTAATCCCCAAATATTCCATAAACATTCCAACCATCTTTAATTTATTAAACTGTTTCTGGTAAGCATTACTAATTTTATACATTACGGGTATGATCGATGTTCACGAATGAAGTGCTCAAGAGCATCTTTGTTTTTATGAGAAAACTTGAAAAAAAGAGGTGAACGCCTTAAAAAAAAATCACTTGTTTGTTGCTATTTACGATCTGTAAAGG